CGCCGCCCGGCCCTACCTCCGCTGCCCGGCCGGCCTGAGTGGGAGAGGAGGCTGAGTCGCTTCTCCAGCTGCAGGGCTTCCAGGGCTTCCTGGGCCACCCGCTCCTCCAAGGCCGAGGGCCCGCCAGGGCTTGGGTCTGTGGCAGAGGGAAGTCAGGGGAGAGGGTGGCCCCAGCCCACACGCCACCGTGAGGCCACACGCATCCAGGCCAAGTCCACTTGAGCGCCGTTGTCCGCTCGCTGGGACTCCCTTCCTCACCCCGTTTTGCGATTTTCTCTCCCCACGATCGTCCTCGCCCCAGTCCTTGCTGTGGACCCTGACCCAGGAGTGGTCTGTGTCCCCGTCTCTCAGGCCTCCCTGGCCTGGGCACATGCCCACCTACCCTGTGGCTGGCCTGCTGCCCCCAGCCTCATGTGGTGCTCAGGGCTCAGAGCCTGCAGCCTACAGAGCCTCAGCCTCCACCCGGCCCCTTCCCTCAGGGCTGCTGTCCAGGGAGCACCAGAACGGCCCTCTCTGACCATCGCCTGTGTGTCCCCGGGCCTGGGCGGCCCGACCCCTCCCCTTCCCGCTCGGGCTGTGTGGGCATTTTCAGCTGACCTCTCCCACGGGCCCCAAATGGTCCCCTGGTCCCTTTCACAAGCCCGCACAGATGGCCACAGCCGTCCAGAGAGGTTTCCCTGCTGGGAAGATACAGCCTTATGCACAGGAGCAAATCAGCCCCGTTTAGCCCCAAGCAGCCTACTTCGGGTCTCCAGGCAGGAGGCGGTCTGTGGTTGGCACCTGGCTGCCCTCGGTGCGCCCAGCCACAGGAGCACGGCGAGCCAGGCCCATACCAAGCTCAGGGCCCCAGCAGGAGCAGAGCCTAAAGCAGGTCAGTGGGTCCTAGGAGCGTGGCAGCAGGATGTCTCCGCCAGATTCTGCAGCACACAGAGGACTGGACAGCAAGGGGCCTGGCTCAGGGCACCCAGGTCAGTGTCCACAGGCAGAACCGACCCACACAGGGGTGGGAGAGGCATCGGCCTCGCCGTCCAGGTTCCAGAGGGACAGACAGCAGCAGCGTTCCTTCTTCCTTCCCCTAACTCTTTCAGGATGAGTGTCTCTGGTGGGTCATCCCCTTCAGCTGACACCTTCAGGCCACAAGGGAGGCCAGCTAGGGCCCCTGGGTACCACGGGCCACTACACCAGGGCCTCAGACCAGGGGTGCCCTTTCTACGGGCAGGCGG